TATTTTATCTTTTTAAGTTATATATATATGACTTTCTCTGAACTTTGTGGATGAAAATAATTTCAAAATCCTTCAATATCCTCATGAATATTGGCAGTTTTTGAAAATGTTTTCTATATTTATATTTCTTCTTCAAGTAAATATTAGGAACCACAAATTCTTAGTGCTCTTAAATAAAATACTATAATTATTCCACATTTTATTCTGTTGCAGTGGTGAGAATAAAAACTGATAAGGTCATTCTTGTTGGTAGATTTTCTTTAAACCTCTTACAGAAGGTCATTATTAGTTCTAAGTAGCATGATATGTAGGAAAGGTAAAGTGTTGTTAAAATCAGATTCAAAGGTAAAATCTGTTGTGGGTTTGATGTTATTGAGTTTGTTAACATGATTGCTTAAAAATATGTTCCGTAGATAGAGAATCATCTGTGTATCTAAAATAAGAACTTTTTTTGAAAGGATCACTTTCTAGAAATTCCAGAGATAGACAAGTCAAAAAAGAATGACCTTATCAATTTCTATTCTCACCACTGCAGCCGGATAAAATCTGGAATAATTATAGGATTCTATTTAACCTTTAGCATTCTGCATTATTAATATTACTTCCATTTCCACCACATTATTTTTTAAGGCCTCTCAATTGCAATACCCTTATTGTTAATTTCACTCAAAGTTGTTTTCTGTTGCTATAGCAGGATATGACAACTATGAAATTTAAACACTATTGTTCTGGGATCAATTGCCTTCGGTGTCAGGATAAATTTTTTTATACAACAAATGAGGGATAAAGGTTAAGAGCACTAAGAATATGGAACCCCCAATGCTTAGCTGAAGAAGAAATATACATAGAAAGCACTTTCAAAAACCTCCACTCTATATATATATATATATATATATATATATATATATATATTAACAATATATTTCTCTTCCTTTTTATGATAATAAGGTACCAGTGAACATGATAAGAATGACTGGTGATGGGACATGGCATGTTGAATTGATACTCTTGTTCAAGAGTATTAATACTACTGATATTCAGTAACTTTAAGAATAACAAGAGTTTAAGAGTAACAAGAGTATTAATATTACTGATATTCAGTAACTTTAATTGATCACTGATTTTGTTTTCAGATACCATCCTTTTAATTTTCTCATATTGGTTAGATTGTCTGGTATAAGGCCACAGTTAAAGAGCATTCAATGAACTGTTGTGATCACTATCATCAACTTGCAATATTGAACACTCTTTAAGTCTTTAATTAAAATCATGTCCGTAAATGCATGTATTTTGTTTTCCATGAACAATCCTGACAGCCATATTTTTTGGTGCCTCGAGATGTTTTACCTTGTCTCAAAGAGTATTTAATATTTTCCTATTTTTACTTTTGTGATAATAATTTTTTGTGCTGGTATCCATTGTCAGGCCTGTAGCCTCTTTTTGAAATGTTCTCTCTCCTCCATTTTTTTTTTTTTACTTCATTAGTTTGTGTACACACTACATTTAGCAAATATCATGCCACTTAATTTTTGTAAACAAAATATAAAAGGTTATAGTCAAGAAACAAATAAATTATGCAAAAAATAACTTAATAATTATTATAACCAAATACATATTTTTATTAAGTTTAATTGTAAGTGTTATATCACAGGTGGTTGGGATGAACAAAAACAAAAATACATAATAAAATAACTTTTATTCATTTGTCAGTTATCTGCCATGCGTGATACACTTAGGTGATAATGTATCTTTCGATGCATGACTGACGAGGCAGATTTTTTTTTCCCACAGTTGGTTGACATTTTTTTTCTGAGGTAGACCAGTTGCCATCCAAAGCTATAGAACCTGGTCTGTCCTGCTATTTACCCATAGCTGTGGGGAGAAGAAGAAGAAGATTCACACCTTTCCCAAGGGTATTGGCACATAAGTAATGGATCAACTGGAATTCAAACTCGGCTCTCTAATTCCTTAATCCGAGCCACTATCTATTACTCCACCATGCCTCTCCTTTTTCATTTACTGCCTGAAAACAGAAAGGATTTGTTTTGATTTTAACCATGAGTTCCACGTGCATGTCAGCTTATTAGCATATTGAATTCAGAAGTGCTGTGATTCAACTAGCACATATGGGACATAACTCTATTGTATTTTGAGTTATGGCTCTTTGTATGGGGAAGTATGTTAACACCCTTTAACAGTAAGATACTGCAAAACTAAAATATTAACCTAAGAAATCAAGCTATTTTCTTAAATAGCCTTGTCAGATTGAAATTCACTCCTGTATAGATTGAAATTCACTCCTTGTTCAGAAATGTTTAAACTATCATCTATATATAACAATTTTCCCAGATCCATGCTTAAAAACGGTTTCAAGTGAATGAATCCAATAGGTCTAAAAGAGGGCAAATTTTCATCTGAACCTACAGACAGGCACTGCAAATTGCTAGAAGGAAAAATAGTGATATAACAAAGATGTTGCTCTTCCACACTATCTTAAAGAAAAGGTTAGGAAGGTAACTCCCATCAGTACTAGAAAGAGCTATAACAAAATCTCAAAGCACTTTACTACTCACTCACACAAGTTAGCTCTTGCAACCTGTCAGTCCAGAAGCATCTCCACATATTGTGGTCTTCTACTAGTATAAGTAGTGAGATTGTATCAGGTTTGCTATGCTTGTTATACAGCTTACACCACCTGGTATTCCTCAGCAGTCATCCATCTGAGTACTGACCAATATTGCTTAACTTCAAGGATCAAATGAGAACCATATGGCCATAAGCTTAAAAGAATATCACTTGAACACTTCTGATCACAAGAGTTCACGACCTCAAGACCCTGTTGGCCCTATAACACTAGGTTTGTAGGGCCAACACATGTACTGCAGAATGACAAAGAACTGTACCGAATAACAAAAATTACATCACTTGAACAGTTCTGACAGCAGAACATGTAACTGTAGAATAACAATAATAAATAGCACTTACCGGCGTAAAGGTCCCAGCTAGCATCCAGCTGGCAGACAAAAATAAAGCAGGTTGTAACTTAATACAAACCCTGCAAACTAACTGATGAATCAAGCTGGTATTTATATAGAAATACCTCCACTCAGGTACCAGCAGCCAATCACAGCCCAAGCAATGGACTATCCCACTTTAGCACAATGAGATGCTCCATGGCAACATAAATAGCTCTCTTTCTAAAGGTTGGATTATTATTCACTTAGCTTGCTCCACAACTGAGTGTTTTTCTACAGTAACTAGTGTTCCTTCTCCTAGACTAGTTGCCAACCAAGACTATAGGACACAAAACTAAGGCATACTATTTATTTATTTATTATTAGAGGGGGATAGCTAGATAGATAACAAAAGAATTGGTATCAAAACACTTGGCTGGATTTTTTAAAAAAAAACTTTCTGGAATCTTTTCAGGGTCAATCTTTCTTGTTTTCAAGATCATGAGTCCTACAACCCATTAGGGTTGTAGGGTCCCCACATGTACTTTAGCCACAGTAACACTGGTGTGTCCTAGGCAAGATAGCCTGATGGAACCCACCCATCTCCAGTTTTTCTTCTCCTAGACTTGTCACCAACCAAGGCTATAGGACACAAAACTAAGGCATCTTATTTATCTATTATTAAAGGTAGAGACAGATAACAAAAGAATTGACATTGAAACACTTGGCTGTGGGTTTTTTAAAATCTTTTCTGGAATCTTTTCAAAGACAATCTTTCTCGGTTTCATGATCAAGAGACCTGTAACCTATTAGGGTCATGGGGTACCACACGTGCTGCAGAATGACAAAGAACTGTACAGAAACCACTTTACTCGAACAGTTCCAACAGCAGCAACAACAATAGTCAGAACATGTAAAACATTGACTTTCCACACTATCTTAAACAAAAGGTTGGGAAGGAAACTCCCATCAGTACTAAAAAAAGCAATAACAGTCTGTGGACTTGTGAAGTCTAATTTCCTGAAAAGGGGTAAAGGAAATGATTTTATTAATTTCATCTGGCAGTAGCAGTAATTGTTCAGATATTCACTGCATAGAAAGAACTAATTTAACCATTATCACTACAAATGACTATGTTATTGTAATGTATGTTTTGACCAATAACGCAAATTGCTACAAAACTGAAATAGTCACCTGAAAATTCAAGTCAAGTTCTTAAATAGCCTCGTCAGATCATGACTTTCATATGGATGTCCCCACTGCTTCAAACAAAAGGTTAGAAAGGAAACCCCCATCAATAATGGAAAGAGTGATAACAACATCTGTTACTCTTTTTGCTGCACAAGAGTGAGCTCCCTTCCTCTGGTGCCACTAAATGACAGTGTCCTTGTTATGAAAATAACAGACTGCTCCAAAATGTTTTACAAAGCCAGAAGATAAAAAGATTGACTGCATAAAAGAGCAGAGTAAAATAAATATTAGATAAAAATATATAAAGACTAACCAGTGAAAACCTTCTTGTAATAGTAAGGACTTAACAACATATGCCATCATTTTTTATGGCATAGATAAGCTAGTATTAATATAAGATTCTACAGAACATAAAGTAGGGGATTGATTTTTCATTGTTATTAAGTAATTAACTGATACCCAGAATTACTAAGTATTATAACTGGAGAAATCTATATTTAAAGATTTGCATGTCAAAACTTTCTAATAATCATGAGGAATAAACAAAATATTTAGTAATTTTGGACTGCATGGGTAAAGTAGAATTAATATAAGATTCTGTTGAACATAAATTGGGGGATTGTTATTAAATAATAAACTGATCTCCCAAGAATTAGTAGGCTTCCAGCTATATCACATTGAAGCACCAGTTCTTCCACAATCACTGAGTTAAGCAACGTTATGCCTGGTCAGTAGCTAGATAGGTGACCACTTCGGGAAAGTTTTACAAAGTCAGATGCTCTTCCTGACACCCAACTTAGATACACACAGTAGTATGCCAAGTATTTTCACCGAGACACCATCTCTAGAAAGGCTTACAGCCATATCGTGTTGAAACATCAGTTCTCTATATGATCACCACAGTTAAGTAACATCAAGCCTAATCAGTACCTTGATGGGTGACTGCTTGGGAATACCAGATGCTGTAAGTTTGAATGTAAAGGTGATATAATGAATAATGTCTTGGATTTGGAAATGGGAGAGCCAAGTTCTAATTCCAATCGGGTTCATTATATTTACTTACCTTTTGGAAAGAGATGAATTCATCTCTTTGTACCCCAGTTATGGGTTAATTAGTAAGACTAGTATTAGTAAATCATTATTATCTCCCAAAAAGTTCTTAAATCTAAAAATATTTTCTGCTTTAAATAACCTGCAAAAGGTTGATAATCTGTAAAAAAAAAAAAAAAAAACATATCAGTCAACCTAGAATTACTACATAATAGAAAATAATTAGAAAAACATATCTAAAGCTTTTTAATAATAGTAAGGACTTGATGAAATATCAATTTCATATTTTCCCTCATTTTTTGATAGCACACATGGGTATACTTTTAATATCAGTATTTACCAGACCCAGCTTAGATCCATTAAATTATCAAAAGGGGTGCAAAATAAGAAGATTGTGTTGCTCCAAATAAGTTTCTACCTGTTTTGAAAGCTAAAATTGGGCTGGTGATCTTATTAAGAATGAAACAACAAACTTCAGCCACTAAACAAGTTTAATTCAATTGCATATTGCCAGTCACAGTGTACTTGACACACACAGGCTTACAACAATATATACGTTGAAAAACCAGTACCCATACAATCAATGAAGTTAAGCAACCTCGAGCCTGGTCAGTTCCTAGATGGGTGATTGCTTAAAAATACTAGGTGCTGTAAGCTTGGTTGTGTGGGTGATGTAATGAATAATGGCTTGGAACTGTTAAACTGAGAGCCAATTTCCAGTTCCTGTTGGGTTTGTTATATTTACTTATGTACAAATACCCTTTGGAAAGGTATGAATCCACCTCTTCTCCCCACAGCTATGGGTTAATTATCAAGACTAGTATCAGTAAATTATTATTATCTCCAAAAAATTCTTACAATCTAAAAATGTCTTCTGGCTTTAAATAACCTGCAAAGGATTGATAAACCATAAAAAATGAATGAATCAATCAATCAATTAATAGACACACATATACACATGTTGGGTGGAAAGCAAAAACATTCAACTAGTCAGAAAATCTAATTGGCAGATAATCTAATGGAAATGCATCCATTATTTTTTAAATGAGGTTCTCATTTTTATCACCAGGTGGCAGTTAGTGCCAAAGAGCAATATGGCAAGCTCAAAGAACAAGTATATTAGAGATAACAAAGTTTTGTCAAATCCTTCATCTAGACAAGCATGAGGGATTCATCTTTTGTTTGGAAATGTGTTCTCTGATCTTCATATAATGATCAGTAAGAAATTATTTATTACTGATCATTATACGATGATTCTTTTATGACTATTCTTCTATATGCCATGCCTTTTCAGGATGTTGGCGATTATGGCTCTCCCCAACTTCCTCTCCTTTGTAGCTCTTAGTAGATTGTGTCTTTTTGCTATTTCTCCTAAAGCCTGTTCTGCCATCCATTTATACAAGCTTGTTAGGTAGGTTATGCACTTTTTTCTGTGGTCCCTCTTGCCTTCAATATGTCCTGTGAGTATCAAATTTTCCAGGCCCTCTTTCCTCATTGTGTGCCCTAGTAATTTCAACTGTCTCTTTCTGATGTTAATTATAAGTGGCCTTTTTGTTTCCATTTTCTCCAAAATTTTGTCATTCCTCACATGTTCAGTCCATGGCATTCTCAGCATCCTTCTGTAGAACAACATTTCTGTTGCTTCAATTCTGTTCATCTGTGAGGTGATTGTCTAGCATTCACTGCCATATAGGAGGACATACTACATAACAGTTCAGTACTCTTTGTTTCTAGTGAAATTTTCCTGTTTCTTTATACTTTGCTTTGCATTTGGAATGCATTTTTTGCTATCCCAATGTGTCTCCAGATTTCAGTGTTGCACTTTCCATTCTAGAACACATTTCCAGACAAAGCCTAGCAAGAAAGACATTAATTTGAACAATATTCCCAGTGATAAAATTTACCATACGTAGTTAAAAATAAGTATACTCCTCTTAGTAACTAATTCAACTTCAAACATTAAATGTTTGACAAAATGGAAACAGATGCAAAGGTTTCATAAAAGAAAATGCTCATCTTGTTTTTATATTAATAAAACTATAAATTATATAAAATATATATATATATATATATATATATATATATATATATATGTGTGTGTATATGTGTGTATGCATATATATATATATATATATATATATATATTTTATATACATGTGTGTATATATGTATATGTGTGTGTGTATATATATATATATATATATATATAATGAATGAATGCTAAGCATGACTGTCAACCGCTGCATTTGAAAGCAAAAAGAAAAATTACAGTAATCGATATAAGAAAACAGTTTTGTATTACTACTTGCACCTGTGAACAACACATAATTTTGTATTACTATGTACTGAAGATGATCTCGGAAGAAGACAGAAAGTACTTGGGAAATGAAAAATAAAGATGCTTTTCATAGTTATAGCACATTTCTCACATCATTTAATTGTAATACACGGAAGGTTATCTGTGAGTATGAATGGATTTTATTAAAAATAAGCAGACATAATGTCTCTAATTTATTTAATCAGCCATGCGTAAAAGAGAATTTGCTACCTAAATACACAAATATATATATATATATATGTGTGTGTGTGTGTAGGTTATTTTTAATAGATACATTTGTTTGAGTTGATATACCTGTTTTTTATTTTCTTAAAAAGTGAAATTAATTGATATTAATCAGTCAACAGGTCCTACTAAAGAAAAATACACCACTCAACAGGAATCAATCTTCTTTTGTTATCAGGTTGAACCATTCCTATTGTCGAAGCATGCCATTGTCAATTAGATTATAGGAGTGGTTCCTCTGATCAAGAAGGGAAATACAGGTTCAGTTTCTGTCAGGAGGCACATTTTTCAATACTTCATAATCTAGGCCAGTTGACATTAATTTCACTGTTTAAGAAAATAAATAAAAGCAGGGATGTCAAGTCTAACATATGTACTCAATAAATATCTTGCTTATATTTTATCAAATGTCATAAAAAAATAATGTATTAAAAAAGTACATTTAATATATATATATATATATACCTACGTTAGGAGTGCAAGTTCAATTTCATTGTTTTACCAACTCATCAGGCACGAGATATTACCTAAGTAATATTTCATACCTGATGAATTGGTAAAACAACAAAACTTACACTCCTAACATAGGTATATGTATATTTATTAATATATATTTCTTAGCTCTGTCTAACCACATTGAGCACTGTTATGTTTACACCTTAAAGTAAATTTAGGAAATATTTATTTGCATGCTAACATGCACATATGCTGTTTCTAATATATAGTTATTTAATTTCCTGCCTGTATATATATATATATATATATATATATATATATATATATATATATAGGGAATAGAATAAAATAATAATGGTTACTAGTAATACTAGCAAATGACATGAAAAATTATATAATTTAACATCTGACAAATTTAACAGAATTTCTGGCAATAAAGTGGTCAAGTGATAATTATTATTAAAATAGAAGTAGAAATCTTCAGCACTTATCAAAGGTCAACTCAAGCTAAATTCAAAAGGTTTATATATATATATATATATATATATATATGACAATAGGAAAACTGTAGCAGTTGCCAACGCGTTTCGTCCAATGTGGACTTTCTCAATGCAAAAAATGAAATGAATTTATTTAAACAAAGTAACTAATAATAAGAAAAACAAAATGTCCTTAGCAACTGGAAGAATTTAGTGAACGCTATTTTCATACTGTTAACTGAAAATTACGTCAATTACTGTCACATGTGGAGATATTGTTATTATTGCTGTGTTGACTACTCTCCCAAACAAACGTACACAACAATATCATGAAATCAAAAGAAAATGGTTGAATCCGTCAACACAGCAATAATAACAATATCTCCACACGTGACAGTAATTGACATAATTTTCAGTTAACAGTATGAAAATCGCGTTCTCTAAATTCTACCAGTTGCTAAGGACATTTTGTTTTTATTATTATTAGTTACTTTTTTTAAATAAATACATTTCATTTTTTACCTTGAGAAAGTCCACATTGGATGAAATGCGTCGGCAACTACTACAGTTTTCCTATTGTCATTTATATTTATAAATATTCTTTTCTACAGGTTATCTCTGAGAAATTTTCATATATATATATATTAAAGGCAAAATGTTTAGTGCCATCCTGAATTTCTTTAAAAAACATCTTAAAAATGAAATATTTTTGTATTTTTTTTTTAAAGTAAAAGATTAAATTTCAGTAACTACAGTGTATTTGCTTTTATTCTGACAAAAATAATCACTGAACTATAAAAATTTATCATACAACAGGATCTTATTTTGTTTTCATCCACAAAACCACCACCTGCATTAATTACTTCTTTATAAATTCTTGGCATTCTTTCCAACAGTTTTTGAAAAAAAGTAAAAGGCAGACCTTCCCAAGCATTCTTCAAGCATTGAAAAAGCTCACTCTCACTCTTTGGGTATTCTCTTCAAATTCTCCTATTTAATGTATCCCATACTAATTCAATGTAAGAGAGGTCTGGAGATTGAGGCAGTGAAGGCATAATTTCCAAAATTTTGTCTATTTTTTTTTTTTGACTCAAGGTAATTTTGACATAATTTAGAACAGTGTTTTAGATTGTTGTCTTGTTGAAAAGTGATTTTTTTTTCCCCAATTATGTGTAAATTAGATGGTATAGCATGTTTTTGCAAATGGAATGATATTGATATTTTTCATGATTCACTTGACCTAAATCAAATCTCCAGACCTCTCTCCCCAAAAGCATCCCACATTATAACAGACCAACCACCATGCTTAACTGTTGGAACTACACATTCATCATTCAGTCTTTCTCCTCGATTTCTTATCCTATATACTCTCCCCTTACTACTACTTTGAATTTTTTTGTTAGTAAGAGAAGCCTGGATA